CCATTTTACAGATGTGAAAACTGGAGTTAGAGATGAGCTTGACCAAAATCATACACCTTATAATTACCAGACGCTGATTCAAATCTAGGGTCTGCCTGAGCTGAGACCCTGTTGTTTTTAGCATTATAATACTCTTCCTCATTTCTGTTGTTCAGCGCCTCATAGGTTGCACACTTATAATTGAACATCTTCTTTTTTTTTTTTTTTTTTTTTTTTTTTATTCGAGTCAGAATCTCACTCTGTTGCCCAGGCTGGAGTGCAGTGATGCATTCGTAGCCCACTGCAGTCTCAATCTCCTGGGCCACTCGGGTGATCCTTTTATCTCAGCCTCCCAAGTGACTGGGACTCCAGGTGCACACCACCATGCCCAGCTAATTTTAAAATTCTTTTTGAAGAGATGAAGTCTCTCTATTTTACTTGGGCTGAAGCAGTCCTCCTGCCTTGGTCTCCCCAAATGCTGGGATTATAGATGGTGCCTGGCCTGGACATCTTTTTAATAGTGGGCACTGATATTAAGTCAGAGGCAAGATTTGGGGGGGTACCTTTTTTTAGGATACATTTGCAGATGGCAAGGGCTGTGCTCACTGCATTGTGGTGCGCAAGACCTCCCAGAGTCAGCCATTCCCAGAGGTTGGTGCCCATCCTCGCTGTCTGTAACAAGAGCCATTAGACACTCACTCTGACCTTACCCCCTCCGGATGCTCGGAAACCTATTGTTGAAGCCATCCGTGGTTTTTAGGAACCTGAAGTCCCCGAGCACAGAGGATCCCAGAGGACCTCAACTTTTGTTCTTCTTGGGTCCCGAGACACCCACTGAAGGGCACACCAGGTGTAAAATTCAGCCAGGGGCACATAATTACTGGGTCTTTCAGGCAAAGTTGACCAAGATCAGGTTGAGGGGTCGGAAGGTGTCAGTAGCTTGTGCACACAAATAACAGCAAGATGTCAAAGTGTCTTGCTTGTGTGCTGTTGTATGTGCACCCCTCGGGTGGGCTGCCCATTTGCAGTTCTGTGTGGAAACACAACACAGGAGAGCAGTCCAGAGGTGAATGTGGGTAAAGGAGCTTCTTCTTCCTTTGCCCTTCTTGGAGATGCCCTGTTGGCACCTTCCTTTCATTTGTGGGTCACAATTGCTGCTTCACAAGACTCCTCTGATAGTATAGATCTAAAATAAGCTGCGGCTTCCAACAGGGCCTCTCTTTTGTACTTTCCTTCCCAGAGTTCAGACAGACCCAGAGCAATCGGGCATGGAAGGCTTCGGCTGGGCTAGGACCACCCTCAGGAGGCAGTGGACTGTGGACAAGCCTCTTGGGGGCTCCTGGCCTTCACGCTCCTTTGTACGAACTCATCTTCAGATGAGGAGACTCTCAAAGGCCTTTCTCAGTCTCCTGTTCTCAGACAAATGTCTGGGGAGTTTTGTGCTTGGCTGCAGGGGGACGGAGGGTGTGAGCATCAGAAGGGGGCACTTCTGATGGACCGATGAGTCCTAGGAAAACCAAGTGTGCCTCATTTCTCAGAAGGACTTTCTACACATTGTTAACCCAAACAGGGTCATAGAAAATAGAATTAGGGGGAACAGATGACTAACACAGAGTTGACCATGAGGTGTTCACTGGGTTTCTGAGAACAGAACGCTGAGTGTATACAGTGTTTTCAGCACATGGGTTCGTCTAGCCACAGAGGTGACTGTCAAGTGGATGCTGGGTAAGAAGTCAGCTCTTGAGCTTTGAATCACACTGAAGGGCCCTTATCTCCTCATTCGAAAGGCATTTATCAAGGTCTTTAGTAACTTTTGTGTTCTGAGACATCATCCTCTCATCTCCTGCGTTTGTATAAAGCAGGGTGCACCTTCTTACGTGGAGAAGTCGTACTTTGTGTTAATCTCAACAAAACACTTCCCAGCAAAGGAACTGCAAGCTCACCTGTGTGAGAGGCAACCGTATGGGAATTAGGAATCTTCCCAGGCTTTGTGATCAGAGAGCCCGCGTGTCAGTCCCAGCTCTGCTGGTGACCGCATGCCATCATGGGCAGGATCCCACATCTCTCCTCTGCCGGTATGTGACCTGGAGATGGTATTTTACCTCTTACCTGCAGGCTGTGCTGAGAGTTGCATCTGTACACAGCTCAGGGCCGGGCAACTGCCGCAAGCACTGACACAGTGTGACACTATGAAGAGTTGTTTGCTTTGATACTCCATCTTATCTGCAGTCACCTATGTGATAAAAGAGGGAAGCAGTGCCTTCAAAGACATGCGGAAAGGGCGAGAGTTGAAGAGCAGGCCAGAGCTAGGAAGAAAGTAAAAAGTCTTGACCAGCACCGTGGCTTATGCTTATAATCCCAGCACTTTGGAAGACCAAGGGAGGAGGATTGCTTGAACTCAGGAGTTCAAGACCGTTCTGGGCAATGTAGCAAGACCTTTTTCTGCCAAAAAAAATTTAAAATTTGGCCGGGGTCGGTGGTTCAGCCTGTAATCCCAACACTTTGGGAGGCCGAGGCGAGTGGATTGCCCGAGCCCACGGGTTCGAGACCAACCCTGGGCAACTTGGCGAGACCTTGTCTCTACAATAGATTTAAAAAAAATTTTTTTTTAATTTGCCAGATGTGTTGGTACATGCCTGTAGTCCTAGCTACTTGGGGGGTTGAGGCAGAAGGATCTTCCGAACTCAGATCAGGAGATGGTAAGCCACGATGGTGCCACGGCACTCCAGCCGGAGTAACAGAGTGAGGCTCCAACTCAAAAAATAGAAAGCACCGCCAATCAGTTGGTGTCTTTCAATTACTGGGATTGGGGAGGTAAATAGCAACTCTTTCCTATTGAGTCTTGAGCTAACTGAGAGAAAAAGAGATATGAGGCACTCTCACTAATGAGGCTCTCACGCTGGCTTACATCTGCAAAAAGTGAATATCCCAGGACCAGACCCCCGAGTAGACAGACCTGCCCCACCAGGCACAAGTGCTGGGAGGCAGGCCGTGGACCAGTCTGCCCATCAGGTGGTTCCTGAGAGGGAAACCGCCTGGAGGAGACTGAGCAAGGGGCAGAGAGAGGCCAGGAGTGTGATGCCACGGAAAGTGCGCCTGAGGGACAAGCCCAACTCCTTCTGGCTTACGTTACAAAAAAGAATTGGCTCTCATCATGGGAATATCCTAGAGTGGTCAAGATTCAGGCGTGGCTGGATCCAGAAGCTCAAGCGATAGCCATGGGTGCCCCCTCTTGGTTCTGTCTCACTTCATCTTCACACTGGTCCTTTCTCCTTGCCCTCACCAGGATTGCAGGCTTATGAGAACCCTGAGTCTCAACGGTAGAGATGGAGACAGCAACTTTTCTGAACTCTCTCTCAAAAGTCTCTCTTCTTGCTTCAGAGAATACCGTGTGTTCCTATCAGAAATTAGTCACCATGGATTGGTGGATCAGAAACAGGCATCAGCCTGCATCACATGGACCAAATCCAAGTAGAGGAGAATCCACGAGGCCTGGGTCCCCAAAGGGACACTGCAAATATGGACCAGGCTTTAAAAACTAACTGGTTGTGCTACATGGTGGAAATATGGGTCTCTTTCTCTTGAATTTCTGCAGTTACTTTTTTTTTTTTTTTAGTTTGTCTTTTTTATAAATGGGGAAGAGAATAAAAAGAACATGTATAAATCTGTTTTAACCTGGCACACGGGAGATGCAGGATTCTGCCTGTGATGACATGCGGTCACTAGCAGAGCTGGGACTGACACACAGGCTCCCTGTCCACAAAGCCCAGGGAGATTCCTAATACCCACACAGCTCTCACACAGGCAAGCTCGCTTCCTGTTCCTATGCTGGGAGGTGTTTTGTTGAGATGAACGCAAAGTACAACTTCTCCAAGTAAGAAGGTGCCCCCTGCTTTATACAAACCCAGGAGATGAGGGGATGACGTCTTACAACACAACCCTTGTTTAAAAGGATTTATGACAGCTATCCAAAGCACATCAAGTAAAAAGAGATAGATAAGCAAATGAGACAGAATATATGAGTAAGAAGAGCAGCCAAAGAGGAATGCCTGTATATTTGCCAGAAATCGAACACCTAGATAGCAGGAAAAACCTTTTCTTTGCATGTACTCGGTTAGGGGTGGCGGAAGGATTTGTCACTGAGGAAGCAGAGAGAAGGGTGGGGATTCCGAGAGACCCCAAGATGATCACCAGCTGCATTTACCAAAGCCCTTTGTGTGTGTGTGGCTCTGAGCCCAGAGGGTTGCGGAAAGTGACCTGAGGTCAGCAAATCTGCCTCATGGAGTCTGAGGTGGGAGCATGAAGCATGAAGGTGGTATAGTGGATGGCCAGTGGGATTTGCCTATTCGGTCCATATTGATAGCTGGTCATCTTCCAGAAGATATGGTTCAGGAAGCTCTCATCTTAAACTCATCATCTCTTCTGGGAAAAACAGCTCTGCATTCACCCTCCATGGAAGTGGCCTTTGCTTCTCTGTGCAGTCATCCATCTCACTGCTAGTTTAAAGTGACCTCCAAGCCTTGCGTCCAAGCCCAAAGATGACAGCATTTCTTCCTGGAAAGCTAGTACTCGTGTCCTCACTTCTGAGATTCTCCCCATATACAAGCATTTGGGTTTTGTGTTTGTCTGTTTACATCTCCCCTACTTGCCATAGTACCGCACAATCAGGGCCACAGGTGGGGTAGCCATTCTTGATGGAACTGTAACACACCAGTAGGAACCCGGTATACGGAGCCCTCCACCAAAGCCCTGTCGCTATTCCTACCTTTGAGAAAATAAACCCAACTTTCCAGGGACTGATGGCCAGGCTTCTCTGCCTGTGGAGCTAGCCACATTGTGTTTAGACAGCCTGGCCCATCAGGGGTCCTCCTGCTGCCGCCGGGATAAACTCAAGATTTGGAGAAGTCCAGCAAGATACCACAATGGGGGAATACTTGGTATTTGAATAGTGCATGTCAGGGTTTGTGTGTGAGGTTTTTTGCTGTTGCTTAACTGACTCTCGGTTACCTCCCTCTAAACAGACAGCAACAGACAGTTCTTCTAATTCCTCTCAGAAGAGGGAACAACCTACTCGGACAATCTCCTCTCCCACATCCTGTGAGCACCGGAGGATTTATACCCTGGGCCACTTCCACGACCCGTACCCCACGGACCACTATCACCTCGATCAGGTGAGCAGCAGTCTTGGTCCTCTGAGGTCCTCAGGGCAGGTGGCACGGTTCTAGAATAGCCTCCTTCCCTCCTGTTCAACCCACTGCCCCGGCCTCTTCTGGTCTGCTTTGTCCCTCGCCCTTGTTGAAGGTGATGGTGGTGGCAGTGGTGGCAGCCACTCAGTCAGACATACCTTGCCAACCCCTTTCTATGCTTTGTCTGGTTTAATCCTCACAAATTACCCCACAAGGCAAGTCGTCAGCATCCCCAGTTCACAGATGAGGAAGCTGAGGCTTAGAGAGAGGGAGTATCTGGAGGAAAGAGAGTCAAATCCAAATCCGTCCTCACCGCAGGGGTACACTGCCTCCTGTGCTCCCCTGTCCACAGGGCCTCCTGGCTTTGTGTGGAAGCCCAGAGCCACCATCGGGACTAAAGAATGCTGCACACTTGGCTCGAGCCTCCTAGCCTCGTGGGCGGCAGGCCCAATCTTGCTCAGGAGAAGTAACCGGAGCTTGGAATTCAGTAATTCAACAAATATTTACCAAGCAGCTGCTTTGCAGAGCAGGTTCCCAAATCATGGGGCATGGACCAGTGACCGTGTGAGGTGATGTGACCACTAGGCTGCTTTGACATGAAAAAAAGGAGCACAGTGTAGTGAAGTTTTATTTTTAAAAGCTAGGCTTATTTGATTCTTTTTTTAAAAAAATTATTTATAGTGTGCTTCCTAATACTTTGGCATTAAAATTTCCTTTTAAAAAAAAGTCACACTGGCCAGGCATGGTGGCTCTCGCCTGTAATCCTAGCACTTTGGGAGGCAGAGGTGAGAGGACTGCCTGAGCCCAGGGGTTCGAGACCAACATGATGAGACCTCATATCTACAATAAATTTTTTTAAAGATGAGCTAGGCGTGGTGGTGCATGCCTGAGGTTCCAGCTACTTGGAAGGCTGAGGCAGAAGGATCACCTGAGCCCAGCAGGTCAAGGCTGTGGTAGCTGTGTTGTGCCACTGCACTCCAGCCTGGACAACAGAGTGACTCCTCCAACTCAAAAAGAAAAGTCACACTGGCCAGGCATGGAGGCTCACACTTGTAATCCCAGCACTTTGGGGGGGCCAAGGCAGGAGAATAGCTTGAACCAGGAGTTGGAGACCAGCCTGAGCAACATAGGGAGACCTCATCTCTACAAAAAATGTTTGTTCTTTTTTTGAGTTGGAGTCTCACTCCGTCACCCAGGCTGAAGTGCAGTGGCACACTCACAGCCACTCCAGCGTTGATTTGCTGGGCTCAGGTGATCCTTCCACTTCAGCCTTCCAAGTATCTGGAACTACAGGCATGTGCTACCACGCCCGGCTAATTTTTTTTATTGTAGACGAGGTTTCACCAAGTTGCCCCGGCTGGTCTCGAAGCGGGCTCAGGCAATCCACTCGCCTTGGCCTCCCAAAGTGCTGGGATTACAGGCTGAGCCACTGAGCCTGGCCAAAATTTTTTTAAAAATTAGCCAGGCATGATAGTGCGCGCTTATAGTCTCAGCTACTCAGAAGGGTGAGGCAGAAGGATTGCCTGAGCCCAGGAGGTCAAGGTTGCAGTGAGCTGTTAATCACATCACTGTACTCCATCCAGCCTGGGCAACAGAGTGAGACCCCAACTCAGGAAAAAAAAAAATTCACATTATGGTAGCAGTAGAAGGAAATTGATTGTTTCAACTTTCCTTAATTCGCAAAATAAAAAAAATAGCAAAGCCTGTTGGATGCAATGGCTCACACCTGTAATCCTAGCACTTTGGGAGGCTGAGGCGAGAGGATTGTTGGCACCCAGGAGTTTGAGACCATCCTAGGCAGCACAGCGAGACCGCGTCTCTACAAAAAAAAAAGTTTTAAGTGACTGGGTGGTGTGCCCATAGTCGCAGCTACTTTTGAGAGGCTGAGGCAGTAGGATCACCTGAGAACCCAGGAAGTCAAGGCTGTAGGTGAGCTGTCATTGCACCACTGCATTCCAGCCTGGGTGACAGAATGAAACTCCAACTCAAAAAAAAAAAAAAATAGCAAAGCCTGTATCAGATTCCCAAGATATGTTTTGAAATTCTTCAGAATTGTGATTTTCCAAAATCTGAGAGACTCTGATATTGAGAATCTGACAAGAATCGAAGCAAGATGTGTGAGACACAGTCCTGGTGTTGAGAAGCCCACACTCTGGTGGGAAGTGGTGGGTAAACTGATTACCACGTGTTCAGTTCTGTAGCAGTATTATAATGACCAGGTGTTGAGCGCCTCCTGGGTGCCAGCATGTGAGCTAACATTCTGCATAGATGATTTCTCTTCATTCTCACAACAGCCTTGTGCGGTTTGATAGGGAAACTGAGTCTTACTGAGTTGCTAGTAAATGCGTTGTCAGCATTCCACTGCACGTGAGTAACTCCAGAGCCACACCCTTCACCCCTTGAAAAGCCTTCAGGCCCCAAGGACATCAAAGGCGGGAAATTTCATTCTCTGTCTCAACGGGGCTGCCCTGGATGATGTATTCAGTAGTTATTTACTCAGTGCCTGCCATTCAGGACAAGGCACTGTTGTAAACTATAGCAGGACCAACTGCAGGGAGAAGTTTCCTCTACCCTAAGGGAGAATGCAGCTTGGATTTGAAGGTTAGGGGGTGTGGCTTTGAGTCTAGCCACCACTGTCTGTGAGATCCTGGCAGGATTTGAGCCCCAGACAGCCAGCTTCTGGAGCCTCCACACTTACCATTCTCACATCTGTGCAGCTTATCTTCCCCACCAGTTTGCAAGGTGAGCCTTGTATCCCCTGTTGCTCTTTTGAACATGACCTGCAGTGAGAAATGCATTTTCTATTGTGACCCGAGTGCGCATCTTGTATACATAGATAATGAAGTTTCATGAAGCAGTACTTACCCTTATAGGATGCGATGCACTCCAGTAACCTTATTCTGTTTTCATTTTTTAAAAAAAAGAAGCCTTGCCGGTGCGGTGGCTCACACCTGTAGTCCCAGCAGCTTGGGGGACTGAGGCAAGAGAATCACTTGAGCCCAGGAGTTGGAGACCAGCCTAGGCAACATAGTGAGACCCTGTCTCTATTTAAAAATAGCTGGGCGTGGTGACTCGCACCTGTAATCCCAGCACTTTGGGAGGTAGAGGCGAGAGGATTACATGAGTCCGGAGGGTCTGAGACCAGCCTGGGCAACTGGTGAAACTTCATCTCTACAATAAATCAAAAACTTAGCCAGGCGTGGTAATGAACGCCTGTAGTTCCAGCTACTTGGAAGGCTGAGGCAGAAGGATCGCCTGAGCCCGGCAGGTCGAGGCTGCGGTGCCAGGAGCGTGCCACAGCACTCCAGCCTGGGGGACAGAGTGAGACTCTGACTCCAAAAAAACAAGAAAGAAAAGAAACACATCTTTGTGCAGATATTCAGTGATGCCAGGATGAGCGTGTTTCTTTGAGACATGCCTTTGTGGAGGTGAAAGGTGCCTTTTGGAGGTTGGGGAGGCGGGTGTTCTCTGGCCACTGCTGTACAGTAACCTGTCCTCTTTGCCCGGGCAGCCCATGCCAAGGCCCTACCGCCAGGTGAGCTTCCCGGACGACGACGAGGAGATCGTGCGCATCAACCCCAGAGAGAAGATCTGGATGACGGGCTACGAGGACTACAGGCACGCGCCGGTCAGGGGCAAGTACCCGGACGCCTCGGAGGACGCGGACTCCTACGTGCGCTTCGCCAAGGGCGAGGTCCCCAAGCACGACTACAACTACCCGTACGTGGACTCCTCAGACTTCGGCCTCGGCGAGGACCCCAAAGGCCGCGGCGGCGGCGTGATCAAGACGCAGCCCTCCCGGGGCAAGTCCCGGCGGCGGAAGGAGGACGGCGAGCGCTCCCGCTGCGTGTACTGCAGGGACATGTTCAACCACGAGGAGAACCGCCGGGGCCACTGTCAGGACGCGCCCGACTCCGTGAGAACTTGCATCCGCCGGGTGAGCTGCATGTGGTGCGCGGACAGCATGCTCTACCACTGTATGTCGGACCCCGAGGGAGACTATACAGACCCTTGCTCGTGCGATACTAGCGACGAGAAGTTTTGCCTCCGGTGGATGGCCCTTATCGCCTTGTCTTTCCTGGCCCCCTGTATGTGCTGTTACCTGCCCCTCCGGGCCTGCTACCACTGCGGAGTGATGTGCAGGTGCTGCGGCGGGAAGCACAAAGCTGCCGCCTGACTCCGCTCCGCCCCCTTCTGCCTCCTCCGGCCACGGCCACGGCCACGGCCACGGCCACGGCCACGGGGGCTTGTCTCTGAGCCGCGCTCATCCTCTCCCGGCCCCCGGCCACCCCCCGGAGCAGGGAGAGCGAGGGGCCTCCCGGCTGCCTGGTCCCCCGAGCGGGGCCCCGCCCGGTGGACTCTCCGCGGCCCCGCCCCCTCGCTGCGCCAGCCCCGCCCCCGCCCGCGAGCGGAGCGCCCGGTTTTCCGCGCACGGGACCCGGGAGGCTCGTGTGTGGCCAGCAGTCGTCACCGGGCCGCCTCGTCCCTGTGTCGGTCTCCCGTCCCTCTTCCCCCGCCTCTTCCAGTTCAGAGGCATCTGCAGTTGGAACTGCCGGTTGGGGGTGGGCTTTGTAGCTGATTTGTCCCAGAGCATCGAAGACTCTCTTTCTCTTGGTTAAACCTGCCGGTGGCTCGCGGCCGCAGGTTCCTGCGGGAATGGGATGTCAGAAGGATGAAACCCTGAAGGTGGATTTCATCCCGCGGTGAGTGATGGCGAGAGGAGGTGAGCCGGTTAACAGACTCGCACCGCAAAACAGTATCGCTTTAACTTTTCGAAAGCCAAATTTCCCAGTAAGCTGCAGTTGCTGGCTTTAGCCCGTCGTCGTTTTCTGCTCCTCTCCCCCAAAAATCTGTGGAAATGATTCACTGATGCAAAACATTCACTGGTAAAATAGGAATCGAGCCTTAACTTCAGATTAACTCGTGAGAATCAGGAAAATCCCTTCAACTGCATCGCATCCTCTTGGACCAGGGTTAGAAAGGGGATTTCAGGTTTGTCTGAGCCTCCCCAGTGGCCCCTAAGGGAGAACTTTTTAAAATTGTGTTGCCACCACTTCTAAAAAATTGAGCAATATTAGAATAAGGCACTAATGATGGAAGAAATTTTGCTCACAGTTTTGCAAACCAAAAGTTCACTCGTACGCAAACTGGCGTTCTACAAACAAGTTCCAACTGAGAAACACTCAAGGTGTGGTGAATAAAACCACAGGCGCTTCTCCTTCCTCCCCCACCCCAGTGTCTATTTTTCTATTAACTGGGGGGGGGAGATTTTAAATGTCATAAATTTGAAGAGTGGTGGGTTGCATTTTGTTTGTGGAATTATTTTTTTATTTTTATTTTTTTGGACTCGATTTCACGTCACCAAATTCCTCATTTATACTTGGGAAAAAACAAGGCCATATGTAAAAACCCTTCCAATGCCTAAGTGTCTTTCTCCTGCAACTCCAAACCCAGCCCTGCCATTTTGGGTGCACGGGTGTTTAGTAAGCCAGCCAACTGGTTCTGCCTGTCACGTCACCACGGAGGAGGCTTCTAATTACCTGGAAAGAGTATTTTTCTAATATATTGCAAGGAAAGCCAAATCTTATTGAAGAAAGAAGAAAAGTGAAGAGTGGTTACCTATACTTAGCATAGTACAATCAGAACCTCTTAGAGACCACAGGGGGTCGGGCCTGTCCCTGCTAGCTGTGCTTCCTGCCGTGGTCTTTCTGTGGGAGTGGCTAGCGGAAGGCACGGCCCGGTCCCTCATCCTTTCTGTATTGCACACAGGACATCAGTCTTCAAGGAAAGGGACTGCTTTCCGGTCGTGTTGGGAAAGTGCTAGCTGTGCTCACCTTCATGGGATGTTTTCAGCTCGTCGGAGCTCATCGTGTTGCTTTAGTGAGATCATCGGTGTAAATACCCAGTGTGCTTATGAGTTAGTTGGTAGACATTTCCATTTGTTGGAGTAACTGGTTTGGGCCTTTCAGTTTAGAAAAGGAGCAGACGGTGGTCCGTCTGGATGGATGGAAGAAAAGAGACTCTCTTCCATGCCTGGAGAACATCTAGAAAACCTGCAGCCAGCCTCCAGTGCAGTTGAGAGACCATCTTTCCCCCCACCCTGAGGCGTTTCCTCAGGGTCTTTCTCTAGGGTCTTCTCTCTACAAAGCACAACACTAATGTATGTTTGTTAGACTTCAGTTCAAGTGCCCCTATTTATTTCAGTCAGAACACACAGAACCCAGCGGCTTTTGTTTGTCACCTCTGTTTAGTCACTACCTGTTTCTCTTTATTTACCCCTTGTCTTTTTCCACCCTTTTAAGAGTTATGCTGGCAAATCTTAATCTGCATATACTTTTTGGTTTGTGAAGGCATTGGTTAAGGGCACAGAGACAGCCATGGGGACATTTATGTAAATAGGTCTCTCTAATTGCCACACTGCAGCTGAACAGTGTGTAGTATTTTCCCAGTCAGCTTTGCCATACTGACGTCAATCATTTGAGAGAAATTATTCAGATTTTATTTTTGTATCTGTGGTAACAAAACATTAACCAAAAGATTTTCTGTCCAGAAGCTTCCCCGACCCTCCCCAAGCTATTTGCTCACATTAACAAATTAAAGTGCCTGAAGCATAATTCATTCTTTACCTGTATACTAAAAACCCTGTTGTATTGATTTTTTTATAATAAGCCTTTTTACCTCTATGTAAAAAATATATATACAAGTGTATGATGTACATTTTAGTTCTTAACTTTTTTTTATGGTTTCTAATATGTATGACGAATGTAGCCATTGCTTTAAAATGTACCATGTAAATATAAACACATCCTATCAGATTGCTGACTTTGGGGTATTTGTCTGGCTGGAGACGGGGTGCCCCTCGAGCCTCAGCAGACCCAGGCATTCTCGTGCGCAGGATGGGCCAGGGCTTCCTGTGGAGAAGGACTTGGGGACCTGGCCCTTCCCACCTATGGCAGTGTCATATTCCCAGGGGAGACTGCAGCTCCTTGGGCTCAGATGTCCTATGTCAAAGGAATGCTGCGTGTCACCACCAGGGAATACCCTCTCTTCCTAGGCCCAGCTTCCCCTACGCGTGCTCCCTGGAGGGAACAGCTGTACTTCCTCCGAGTTGTTTTCCACCGAATCCACCCCGCTGAATCTCAGAGGGTGTGTGTGTGTGTGTGTGTGTGTGTGTGTGTGTGTAGTTTGGAGGACAATTTCTCACAGAAAACGATTGTTAAAACTGCAAGGCACTTCGTCTCCTCTAAGTAGCTCAATTTGGCCCTCTCTCCTTTCCAAATGGATTCTTTGGATGCTCAAAGGCTACAGTGACAATCCCCAGGAGGAAATCAAGCATGAGGTCTTTTGAGGGTCACAGAGCAAAGTTTCTGCTCCTTTTCTAGAGAACCAAGAAGGGCCTTTTTTTAAAGATGTATAGAAGGGCCCCTCCAGCTTAGTTTTTTTTTGTGTGTTTTTTTTTTTTAGTCGGAGTCTCAGTCTGTCGCCCAGACTGGAGTGCAGTGGCCGCTCCCGGCCATCGCAGCCTCGACCTGCTGGGCTCCGGCGATCCTTCCGCCTCAGCCTTCTCCGTAGCTGGAATTACAGGCACGTGCTACCGCGCCCGGCTGATTTTTGATTTATTGTAGAGATGAGGTCTCGCTGCCCAGGTGGGTCTCGAACCCGCAGGCTCCCAAAGGCGCGGGATTACAGGCTGAGCCACCGAGCCCGACTAGCTTAGTTTTAACTCTTCCTAAAAATCTTACATTACCCTCATGCTCTCCTGCAAGCCAGGACCCTCCTGTTGTTCCTGTTTCACAGTTGAAGCTTAGACGGATGGGTAACTCAGATAGCCTGTGATCACAGAAGGCAAGAACTAAGCCGGTCCAGCCGACTGCAGCGTCCAGATCCTTACTGGGCCTCGCTCTGATGCCTCTGTTCCCTCCTCCCTGCCTGCGGCCTTGACAAGTGGGCACCAATCAAGAGCCTGACCCCTCCATCTGGTTCTCTCTGACCCCCTCGGGCCGTTTCAGGAACAGCTTGTCTCTGGTGCCCTGTGTACTAGGCTGGGAACTGGACACACTGCAAACATCATCTTTAACCCTCTGCGGAATGCAGAGTTCATTTCCACTTGCAAATGAGGAAGCGCATGTAGAGAAACAACAGTATGTCTCTGTACCCATGAGGCATTGGTTCCAGGACCCTGTGAGAGCCACAGATGCCCTTGTCCCTTATGTAAATGGGTATAGTGTCTGCATATAACCTACACATACTTACAATCCCTAATACAATGAAAATCCTGTGCAAATAGTTATTACTCTATATTGTTTAAGGAATAATGACAAGAAAAAGTCTACAAATTCAGTACAGATGCAACTACCTTTTTTTTTTAAACAAAGATTTTCTCTCTGAGCTTGGTTGAATTCACAGAGGTAGAACCCATGGCTATGAAGGACCAAATGTACCTAACTCAATCAAGGTCACTGGATGGTCTGTCTGCCATTCCTAGTCATCAGCCCTTGAGCAAGTGACTTGGTCTTTCTCGGTTTCCTCCGGTATAAGAAGTGAAATAATACCCTCAGCACGTCGTGAGGTGTTCCAATGCGATACGCAGGAGGTGCTCTGAAAATGCTAGTTCCTTCTTCAGTTCCCCCTTTTTCTCTGGGGCTCTGAGGAAACTTCAGGCACTGGAGAGGACAGCCTCTTTCAAGGCACAGGAGGCCAAAGCTCGTTGTCAGTAGTTTGTGTTTAAATATACAGTCTATTTCTGTTTCTTAACCTCTCTGCGAATCTGAATTTGGTTTTGATTCCTTGCTGACCCTTCCAGATATGTTAATGGCCCAAGTGATGGCTGCAGAAGTGCACTAGGCTGGCTGGATTCATGGGAACTAATGCCTGCAACTTTGAAGAAGTCAGTGGCCTCTTCTGGGTCCTACTCAGCGGCCACTGCCCAGGGACAGAGCACACTGTCTCCAGAGCGCCACCTGCCTGAATCTCCTACCCGCTTCTGTGGCCTTTAGGGTCACCTCCTGCTGCTCCCGTAATATTGGTCACCACCCTCTCCCCTGAATGATGGACACCCCCGAAAAATCCCCTGGGGAAAAAGTGTTGTTGGAAGAGTTTTGTTTTATAGGACTCACAGAGCAGTTTATGACTTCATTGTGGCATTGGAGCAGAGGCCATGGTCAGAATGGAGAGGAAGGGGAGAGCTTGTGAAAGCGTGCCTGCCA